ATTTCAAGGCACTTAAATAGGCTATGATATAAAGTCAAATTTATTTTTGATGTATACAGCATTTTCATAACAACTGAAGGCAACACAGTTATGTGATTGTGGTATAAAATTATTACTATGTGCCTTGAAAATACATAATACCCCCTTTTTWGTTAAAAATAATGATGATAATTTGCTGCTGCTTTTATCAAAACCAAAAAATGGTTTAGGTTTTTAATGTGTTAAAAAATAAATATTTTGAGACTAAACATTTTATTTAAACTATTTTGGAATTTAAATTTTAAATATGTTTTTGTATCGTGATAACCTATAGATCAGACAACTGAATATATAGTTAAGAATAAACTAGAWAAAATAAGTTTTTAGATTTGTAAGTGAAGCTTTTATAGCAGYCCGAGCTACAAAGCATCATTTTTTTTCCTTTTATAAACAACCCTYTTCTTCAGAGAATAAATATATTGAATGTCCTCATCTATTCCTCTGAGATTTCCTTTTGCCCTTTCTCCTTCTATGATCCCTGATGTGTGGCCATTGATAGAAAATGCTTTTACCTCTGATTTCCCAAGATATGGCTTATTATCTATGTGTGGTACTTTGTTGTCCCGTTGTYTCACAACAGCAGGAACGCCTTTGAAACAAAGTGAAGGTAGAAATTTTTTTAAAAATTATAACAAGGATTTGGTGAATTTCATTATAAAGTATGGCAGCTCCATGGCACTGGCTGGGTACAGCTGGACACATAATTAGAGTGCCTCCCTTCCAATAATTTGTCTAATAGTTTTGGTTAGCGGCACATTATTACCATATGAAAGGGCTAAGCAGGGTCAGTGCATTTCTACAGCAATTAGAGCCGAGCTGAGGGCAGAAGAATGTTTTGGGCGGCTGTTAATTGGAATTTTCTACAAAGCTATGCTTTAATTATAATTTAGTCAGGCACTGTTTTAAACTCAATATATTCAGTTGCCATTATTTTTTTTGTATTAGCATGAAAAACTAGGTCTGTTTCCTTTCAGAAACATTGGGCTTTGAAGAGCCTGAGGTTGAATTAAATTTATTTAAAGGCTCCGCAGCCACTGAGGGGTTTTCATGCTAATGGAGCAAAGTGTTTTCACGGGAAAACTGGATCTAATTTGTTGAGATGTACATACCTTTCAATTTGCATGCGCTCAAATATAAAACTTATTTTGGTCCTTAGCAAATGTTTCCAGAAAAAGTACATTTGATAAACTGCATTTATTAGAATAATCCGTTTATTTTCTGTTCCCTCAATGAGTTGAACACGTTTTGCTTAAGAAAGATTTGGAAAGTAATTGAAGTTCCAAACATTGCCCCTTTCTTTTTTATGAAATATGTTTTACTGTTAGTGACAAAAACACCTCAGTCTGAACCCCTTTATGTTCTGTAGGGCTGCAACTAATGACTATTTTGATAATCTACTAATCTGCAATTAATGTTTTCAGTCAATTAGTCAACATTTATTTTTGTTATAATGTCCAGCTATGCTTGCTGTGGATGCACCTCCTGTTCCAGCTCCAGTGCACATCTCATCTCACCTGCTCACACCTGTGAATGTCACCCTGTTATCCAGTCTCTCTACCATAACAGAAAAAAATAACATTCTCGTAGCAAATTAAAATAAGAGGCCATGAAACCATATGAATTTGAACCTCAAATTTATTAGCTTAATGAGATGTATTTTAACATTAATACATGTTGGCTACAGCAATAAGTGATCAGTCACTGAAAATAAGATCTATGAGGCATCACTCAACCTGACAATCAAGCTAACTTTCTGAAACTTACCCATCTGCAGAGGATAATCACGGCTGCAGCGTGTTAGAGTCTCTTGGTTTGATCGTGCTGCTATGGAGCGATCAAGTCTGCATTTTACTTTTTTTTTGGTCGATTTTCTGTTAAATGTGTTTTTCTGTTCCGCCATTATTATTGCTCGTTGATGTGCCCGCTGCGTCTTCTTCTATGGTTTGCAGGTCAACACCTCTTAGACTATAGAAGTGATTCTGCCCCCAGCAGTTCATGTATTGCATTGCAGTTACAAATGAACATTAACGTGGGTAAATAATAAAATACGTTGGAATTAAAATGCTGCTTCGACTTATTTCTACAATTGATGTTGTCGATTATGTCCACTAATCGTTGCAACCCTAATTTGGTGACAAAATTAAAGGAATTGGGACTTTGCTGCCTGAATTTCAAAGCACCACAGGTTGGACGTCTACACTGGAAGGTGGGTAATGTGGCAGAAACTCACAGCCATTACAGACATGCAATGCTTAGCAATGGGAAAAGGGATATTTTTTTCTCTGAATTCTAAGAAATACACAACACAGAACTGAACTTGGTACTAACAGGTGTCCATTCAAGTAGGCATGTCTGGAACTTTTTTGTAGAAGCTGTAAAGGTAAATAAGATATATGGCATACAGAGGGGCTGTTAACTGGAAGAATCACAAAACAGTTTATTACTAAACTGAACAGAAGCCAGCAGGCAGAGCAATGGTGCTGCCTCAAAGTTGCAAAAAGTTTTTTGATAATTTCGTGAAGAAACTCTGATTTCTACAACAGCCCCTATTTTTTATRTATATATATAACTCTTTACTATTCAAAGTTTTTTTTGTCCTTTTTCTTTACTGTTGTTTATACCTGAAGGGTCATATTATACTATGGTGTGAGTCGTCTGTACATCTGCTTGTATGTCTGTCAGCTTAACTCCTCTTACACATTTTAAAGTAATTTGATGAAACTTAGTGGGAAGCATTATCGAGATGAAAAGCAGGGGCGTTAAACTCATTTGCAATGAGGGCTACATGAGCATTGTGGTGGCCAACAAAGGGCCAGTTGTAATTAACTTTGAGGTTTCATATTTAAAAACAAGACGTCATGTTCTTTGTCTCATTGCTGTTGTTGAGCACCGCTAGATAACTGAGCTCTACATGGTATTTCCTGCATATAAACAGGGTTTTAACATGTTTTAACTGAACTGGGGTAGTTGGGACATATACAGTAATGCAATGGTGGGCCTTGATTTTGACACGTGCATGCATTACAATTTTTGCAAAACTTTATTTTCTTTTAATCAAGACTTCATCTAGGTAAAAACAACAACACAGTTGTCTGATTTACTGTATTTACTACATGATGAAATGTTACAAGTAGGGATGCACCAATAAAGCTTCCAGCTGATATATTGGCACCGTTTTACATAATTTTGGGAGCTCGGTCGATGAGATCTGTGGAAAAGACTGGCTTATCATCTACGGCCACAAAGGTCTGAAAATCAGCCACTGTCCCCTTTTGCTCTGCTGTGAGCACTACCTAATGTCCAGTTAAAACAAGTTTGTATTGTTTCAGAGGCATGTTTTTCAATAAAATAAAATATAAATGGAACATTCTGGTTCTGCTGGAGGTTTCTTCCTGATTAGCAGGGAGTTTTTCCTCTCCACCGTTTGCTCAGGATGGGAGACTGTGATGAAGTGATTCAACGCAATCTGCTGGTTTCTTCTTTACATTGTTCTTCTTTCATGTACAGTGCCCTGAGACAACGTATGTTGTGACTTGGCGCTATGTAAATAAACTGAATTGAATTGAATTGAAGAGTAAAGGTGTATAACACCTGACTGTGTCAGCTATTTAAAAAAATCAGTAACGGCCAAAATCATAATCAGCAGGCCAGACTTTTTTCAGATCAGTAATCGGCCAGAAAACTGCAATCAGTGCACCCCTACTTACAAAGCTTAACAAAACTATTGCCTAATTTGTAAGTATGTCTAAGGCAAATGCATTTTACCTCTTTCAGGTGTATACTGTTATTTGCTCTTGTTAAGTAGTGTCTTTTTATCTTCTGTTCCTTCAGGTCGGAATGAACTGATAGCCAGATACATCAAGCTTCGGACTGGAAAGACAAGGACTCGCAAGCAGGTAAAATAAAAATATTAAGATGTTTCTGTCCAATGATTACTGCAGAACACTGCTTTTATTTCTGCATGGCKAGAACAAAGAAATACAGCGTTGCACTAAATTAAAACTCTCAAGTGGACTTCAGACATTTGATGTGGATTTTTGGGATCACTATTTGCTTACAAACAGAATCTGTCAATACAAATCACAGATAACATGGTCAGATTGAGCCTCTCATTTCTCATGTATTTACAATTGAACTATTTTTAACAACGTTACTCGATGGGCATTAAAATCAGAGAAAGAAAGAGAAGGTTTAACAGCTGCGCATTTATTGTCAGGCAACAGCTCCCAGCGTCTGTAAAATCCCGAGCTGCACGAGGTGTTGCTGATTGGAAGCAGCTTAGAGCTTCAATAGAGTTTTCTTGTAAAGCAAAATGAGTCATATAAAATAAAACGTATTAGAATACAGAGTAAATTAGCCCCTCTGCACACAGTTAACAATAAATGACATCAAGACAATTAAATTAGGCATTTCCCAATGGGCTATTATTGTTTTCAGTTTTGTTTTACTAATTGTGTTTATCTTCCTGAATGAAACCAAAGCAGTTTGTTAATAACCCATTATTTTCACTCTGCATTTGAAACATAAGTGTTTGCTGAAGCTGCTGAACTGTCGTAGCATCAATACAACTGTGATGTTATTGTAGAAGAAAAGTGTTTATTGAAACGAACTGAAAGGTTCCCATCTCTCGTTCTCCTCACTGTCTGATAAAKGTTTTAAACAAGCTTCAGACAATCAAACCAAAAAGTGACTTAAAACACACACATCTATACTCGCCTGTACCATTGTTTTCGATACAACTATTCAGTTTTTGTGAGAAAGTACAGTCAGCCACGTTTACATTGAATTTGGTGAAGTCGAGACATGCATGTTTTTTGTCACATAAAACATAATTAGATGCTAAACAGATTATGCCTAAAATAAATCCAGAAAACAATTGAYGATGTAATCATCTGTAAAATCTCTGCACTAATGTGGATGTTTGGCTTCTAAAAAGTAGAGCTTCCAGGACCTGTCAGGTKCGTGTTGATGAATTGATACCTTCTGAATATGATGTTCTCCAGTTTGCCTCGTGTTKAATATCACCCACATCTGCATGGCTCTTACTCTGCTTCTGTTAAACTATGAAGCCCACTGATAATTCCTCTAAATCTGAAATCCCCCCGTACGGCCACCTTCTTCTGTGACAAATGAGCCGGTGTCTGCAGTGACACTTGATCACTGAGTGTGTATTGATTAGGCTGGACCGGAAAGGCCGGGCGGTTCGTCGCTCTGGGACACAGAATCAAACTCGAACAGAGTTGTTTACCCACATCTTCACCCAGAAACGCATCTGTTCCTGCTGCTTATGACACTAACCCAAGTTCAGTTATCTAAGTTTGTGCAGATATATATCTTTTTGTAGGAAAACAATTTGAAGTAGAGCTTCAACAATTTTCTTTCCCACTTTATTTTAAAATAAATCCCCTCCCTAGCCAGGTTACGCAACAATTTCAAAAGGTTTTTTTGATGTTTAGTGATTCATATAYTGGTTACAGCTGTGTGCAGTTGGCAAACCAAGGTAAGTATTCTTTGAGCCACGAGCAGTAAGCATATTTAGTGGATGTTTAGCTGCATAGCCAACACCTGATGATGCTTTTGTATGAAATCACTTCAGTCCTGTTAGAGTATTCCTCTTTAATTATGATTTGTGTGAATAACACATTTGGGGACTACCTCTCAGAGCTTCCATTAACACCCATTTCTTTTCAATCAAAGTGCCATTTGCACCGTATCAGCTAAGAGTATAGGATAATTTTGAATTGTGAGGTAAACTTGGCAAGAGAAAGGCCTCACCCATCTCCCACTAGATACTAGACCAGGCGATTTTTATTCAGCACACACTAGATCGCATCTGCGCACTCTTAATGTGTGCTAAAGGGGCCTGCATCTTCCCTAATCAGTTCACTTAAGTCACGACAACACACTGTATAATGCTTTATTGGCTGTTAGCTTGTGTGTGGTGTGGAAATGCTTCAGTTTTACACCTTATCTCTTTGAAGTGTTACAGCAAAGAATTATATGATACACTTTTTGTTTGTTTTTTCTTGTTTCTTTTTCTTTTACTTTTATTTTTCTCCTCTTAAATGGAGGTGTCTAGTCACATACAGGTCTTAGCAAGAAAGAAAGTTCGAGAAATCCAAGCTGCCATTAAGGTACGTCTGGCTTTGCCCTGTTGCAGGGGGCTTTTCATTGCCATGGTTACAGGCTCTTCCTTTGTTTTCCTCCCCTCTCCTACCCCGCAGGTGTCTAGTCACATTCAGGTTCTTGCCAGAAGAAAATCTCGTGAGTTTCATTCCAAGCTAAAGGTATGCGCTTTTCTGCTTTTGGGCTTGTTGGTTGCTGTGCGTCTGGACTTCCTGTTTCCTGTGGTGACAGAGTGAATGCCTGTTGCTCTGGTTTCCTCTAAACCCAAGACCTGACCGTAACCCATTCAGTGTTTCTAACCTTTCATTTTCTCACGTAACTTCTCTCCATCACTCAGTCATCTCTTCACTGTCCTGCCTGCGTGGTTCTGATGTCTTCATTTTCCCGAAGGGCCATTGCTTTTACAGCAGCTGCACGTCATTATTCGTGACAATATAAAACGTGGGAAATAGTTTTATTCTCATAAACTGATTATTTTTACGTTTTGAATTATACTCGAACTTGGCTGGGACTAGTTATTTAAGGTTGATTGTATTGACAATGAAAATTTAGATGAGATAATTTGGTCTAGACCAGTGGTTCACAACCTTTTTAGACTTGTGTACCCCCTGAGCCATGTTGTATAAAGTACCACAAAGTGATACTTGAGTAAAAGTGCAAGTATCTTACCAAAAAATTA